CGCCTGAGCTCCTTCGAGAGGCAAGCCCGAGCATCTTTCTCCCGGTTTGCAATGATTTCATTAAATGCTTTACTTTAAATTGATGCATTACGTTCAGGAGTTGTTTGCCAGAAACGTTGTTGCATTATACCTTGTTTACCTTTGTTATACTATATCCTTGTTACCCCGGTATCCGCAATGAGTCAATGCTTAGTCGGCTTAGACCGGTAGAAGTCGGGTGATTTCCTGTCACTGCGAGCTATAGGTGGTTACCCGGATCTGCTTGGATGGCTATGAAGTCCCGGTATAACTAAGTGTTAAATGAAGTTGAGACCGGACGGAGACTTGCGAGTTTTGGACCGTAGTGTTTCCGTCTGCGTAATATTAAGGACCGACCGTTGTTGGGCCTCGAGTCATGTTGAACGATGCCTTACATTTAGTCGGGCCGGATAAAGTACCTTCCGACCGCTAAGTCGGGAGATTTTTCGGCCGAGTAGATTGCCCGCAGCAAGACTATGCCGGCGGTGTGGTAGGACACGGGACGGGATGATAAGACCAAAGTGCGATCGGTCGGCCCCCCGGGGTACATGTGGTTCTGGCAAACTCGAGATACCGGAAAGTTGACTCGGTGATCAATATCTCACTTTAGCGGGTGAGTGAGATTTGTGTAAGGAATAAATCACCACCGGTTAGGAATCGATTCAATCGCCATCGCTCTCCCGGATAGTGAGCACTTGACTTGAGTGACTTCATCATAGTAAATGTTTATGGAACACTTGGACGCTTATAGTGAATATGACAAAGATGAAAGTTGTTTAATGATCGGTGGTTATTATTATCTGCTTAATCACATGTTTACTCTAGTATAGATGCAAATCTAGTCGACAGGTTCATAATAATTAACTTGACAATAATGCTTTTAGAAAGGTTCTTGAAATGCTAAAAATGCTTCTTTTGCAAATGAGTCAGCTACCCTACTATAAAGCCTTCATAATCCTTGGTGTCATTTATTTTCGGTTATGTCGGGTAAGTCTAGCTGAGTACCTTCTCGTACTCAGGGTTTTATTTCCCACTTGTTGTAGATGGGCAGATGTATTACGGCTATTGTATCAACTGCCTTTATCCTGCGATGGGTGATGCTTAGGACCATGGGCATGGTCATTCCTTACGTCTCGTCTAATGCTTTTGTTGGAGATGATCATTCGCTGGCACTATATTTGAACTCCGCGTGAGTATGTGTGGTTTGAACAAATGGCTTCCGCTATTTTTATTCGAACTGGTTTTGTAATAACTATGTTTAAACTCTGATGTATCTGAGATTGAGAACTTTTATGTAATATATGATGGTGACCGCTAAACTTATTACGATCTTGGCTGGAATGGAAGTTGGTTTAAAATCCTTCGTGATTTCACGGACTACCGGGTTATACGGACTTAAGTTTGCTAAATCGTCTGCCCTGGCGGATGATTTTCTCACTTAATTTCGTATAATTGGTCGGTTCTGTTACACCATTATAAGGTGGTCACTGTGTTGGGTCAAGGTATGGCTCGAAGCTCTTCTCCCAAATACTAACGGTGTTCGAACGGAGATAAATGGGTGACATATATGACAGATCCTCATAGTTGTACCCGCGAACCCTGCAGGCCGTGATCATATGAGAGCAAGGGGCATGCATGATCTGAGGGACGTTGCAACTGCACTCTACCTTTTCAAGATCAACTGGATAGTTTCATCCACCATAACGTTCGCCGTCCAGGCTTGTGCCACGCTTGCCCCATACACTAAAGATATGGCGGCGGGGTCCATACGGCTCGGCGGTGTGCTGCTTGGCCAATTCCTCGGTCTCCTTCAAATGTTCAGCTCCGGCCTTTCTAAAACGCCCCTGCTCAGCTATATGCCTCTACACAAGCTCCCACCTCTTCACAAAATATTCGTTGCACTTATGAAAGGAGAACTCAACAATTCCAGACACAGGCAACGATCAAACTCTGGTGAATACACGGTTGAAGGACTCCGAGGAGTTAGTGGTCATGATGCCATACCTGAAACCCCCATCGTCATATGCTAATGCCCACTGAGCCTTCTGTTCCATCTGCGCCTCTAACCAGGCCTTTCCCGCTGCATTTATCATCTTGTCTATTTCTCTCTTTGTCTCCTTGAACTGGTGATTTGTACGTACACAACATAGAGCCTTTACCTTGTCACATATCTCCTGCTTCCACTGACGCCGCCATAAATTAGCAGCAAAGTGTCTCATGCACCATCTATGTACTAGAGGCGGGAACCCATCTATATGCTTAGCTGCAGCATTAAGAAGCCCTGCGTGACGGTCGGAGATCAAACATATAGTGCGAGTTGGGCCAAGCACTTGCACACGAAGAAGCCGCATGAACCATGACCACGATTCATTTTTCTCTCCCTCTGCCAAAGCAAATGCGACGGGTACTATCTGGCCCTCAGGATCAACAGCAGCAGTCATCATCAAGGTGCCCATGTACTTTCCTGTCAGGAAAGTGCCATCAACAAGTATGACTGGCCGACAAAACTGGAATGCATATTCCGTTTGCGCAAACGACCAGAACAAACGATAGAGGACATGCTTCAATGGGTCCCAAAAAAACATCCCTCTGGTGTCCACAAACCATTTCAAGCCAGGGTTGTAATAATGCATTGCACATAAGATGCGGGGCACCCTGTTGTATGCTTCATTCCAAGTACCCCATCGAATCGTCAGAGCAATTTGCTTAGTACACCAAACCTTTTCGTACGTCACATCGTACCTAACGAATCCAGATATGGACTGTTGTAAAGAAGACACCGAGATGTCGTTATTGTCATCAACGAGCCCCACTATACGACGGGCAAGGTAACGTGCAGTGAGCTGCTGATGATTTTTCTTCCCCCTATTGTCTAGGCAAGTGTGGGGTTCAACAACTTTAGTTATCCTCCACTTGCCATCACTCTGTCTCCTTCGTGCATTTAACCTCCACAGACAACCATTTTTGCATATCAAGTGGTACCTCAACTCCTGGTCCGAATGAGTGACGGTGTACGGTCTATGGTGGTACACATCATAGTCCTGAAGGAAGAGTTTCATCTCTGACATTATGCTGAATATCATCCCCTTTCTAAGGGTTTCTGTCTCATAGTTATACAATAAATTCCTACACATATGGAGACCGGTATCACAAACTGCCATATCCATCATGCTGACATCCCTATAGTTCAGAATGCCCCTGAAAGGTACGTTCTTGGACCTTAGTTGCTCAAGCTCAGTCGCTGTGTAAGGTGGTGGTGGAACATACTGCTGCGCTTCGCTAATTCTGGCCCATGAATCATAGGGGATATCATCTGCAGCCAAATCTGTGACTAGTCTACCCTGAGCATGGACACCTTGTAAAACCTCAGTTGGTACTGGTAATGGCATAGTATGTACCGGTACTGGCATGGCATCAGCCGTTGTTGTCATAGCATCTGTACCTCCTTGGTCATCATCAGAATCATCTGAATCACTGCTAACTACATCACCGATCCTGTCCTCCTCCTCCTACTCCTTCTCTTCCTGTTCGAACTCATTCACATCGAAGTCATTGCTTATACAGCCTACTACAGTTGAATGAAATTGCTCCTGCGTCAACTGACCGTCCAAATCCTTGTTATCCTGAGTTGCTTCCCCTTCGACCCCTAATTCTTTTGTATTGCCTTCAAAACCATCAATGGACGACTCGTCCTGAACACCATGCATCCTATACCCATTTTTCACCATCACCTCAGCCATGGGCACATTGGAACCTTGAAGAACCCTAGTGTAGCGGGACCAGTGAGCAGGGTTGCGCAAGGGCATGAGGATATAGTGTGCCCCAGTCTTTCCAGTATCAAAGCTCCCCTTTAGTGTGAAATCATTGCCAAACTTTATATTCAAACGGACACAAAGGTCGTTGAAGTTAGGAGGTTCATCAAACCATTCCAATTCTTCTTCCATATCCTCAAACATACCATCATCTCTCCTAACACTTCCTCCATACAAAACTCTAACACAACAATCCATCTGCAAAAGCATTTCAAGAAACTTCATTAAGTCGTCGAAATCATCGTACGTAATGTCCATACTAACATTAATATATTTTCTAACTATAACTATACTAACTAATCAAATATTAACATCTATACGAGGCATATTATAACTGTACTAACTAAACTACCTAACTTTACTACCTATACTAACTTATTATATTACGTATACTAACTAAACTAACTAACTTTACTAACTATACTAACTATACTTTAATAATTTTACTAACTTTATTAACTGTGCTAACTATATTAGTGGAGTACCTCGTTGCAGCGCGCAAGACCGGGTCGGGAGACGCGGGCGCAAGGCAGCCGCCGTGCGTGACCGGAGGTTCTGGCCGGAGGGGGAGGCACGCTGCCGGCGTCTTGGTAGCGCGCACCGGTTGCGGCACGGCCATGGCTGTCCGCTTTGTTGCTCAAGGACGCGACGGCGGACGCTACCGGTTTGGCGCGGCTGGTCAAGGCGTGGACGCGCCCCGCAGATTTACGGCACGGCGGCGGCAAAGAAGGCGTGGCGGCGCGCGCGCGCTGGCCAGTCGCCTTTGTCGCGCGTTGTTTCGGAGAACGGCGATCGCCGCACGCGCGGCCACGGCGGAGGATATATTGGCTCTGCCGCCCATGGATTAGGGGCGCACCGCCGCCGCTGCCAAGATCGGTGGCGCGGCGAGCCTCGCCATGTCGTGGCGGCGCTTCGTGGCCGCCACGTCAGATTCCTGCCGCGCCACCATGCATGGCACGGCACAGGCATTTGGCCGCGCCAGGACAATAGGCACGGCTAAAAGTGTTAGTTTAAAAAAAAACCAAGAATGTTAGATTTAAAATTAATTTCAAAAAAGTGTTAAAATTAAAAAAAAAATCGCAGTGTGGGCTGTGGCAGCCACCACCTCCGCAGCCACAGCATCTTTCGCCGACTCGCCGTCATGTCCGTTTCCGAGGTCGCCTATACACCATGGCCGCCCCCGCCCTCATGGGCACACCAGATCCGCATGGCCGCCGCCCAGGGCCACTTCCGCGACGCTATCTCCCTCTTCCTCCGGATGCGCGCCTCCGCCGCGCCACGCTCGTCTGTCCCGGCCTCCCTCCCGGCCGCGCTCAAGTCCTGTGCCGTCCTAGGCCTCAGCGCCCTCGGCGCCTCCCTCCACGCGCTGGCCATCCGCTCCGGTGCATTCGCCGACCCTTTACCGCTAACGCCCTCCTCAACCTCTACTGCAAGCTCCCGGATTCGTTTCTCCACTCCACTGGTGTGACCAGCGTTGGTGGCACCGGATCATCAGCCGCATTGGAGAGCGTGCGGAAGGTGTTCGACGAAATGTTCGAGAGGGACGTGGTGTCCTGGAACACTTTGGTGCTGGGCTGCGCGGAGGAAGGAGGCATCATGAAGCGCTGGGCTTGGTCAGGAAGATGTGGAGGGAAGGTTTAGGCCTGACTCGTTCACCTTATCCAGTGTGCTTCCAATCTTCGCAGAGTGTGCCAATGTCAAGAGAGGATTGAGGTGCATGGTTTTGCAGTCAGGAATGGGTTTGACAGCGATGTGTTTGTTGGCAGTAGCCTGATTGATATGTATGCGAATTGCACAAGGACGGATTACTCTGTCAAAGTGTTTGACAACCTCCCGGTACGAGACCCAATTCTGTGGAACTCCATGCTTGCAGGCTGTGCACAAAATGGTTCAGTTGAGGAGGCTCTTGGAATATTCCGTCGGATGCTGCAGGCTGGAGTTAGACCTGTGCCTGTGACTTTCTCGAGCCTCATACCTGTCTGTGGTAATTTGGCATCATTGCGCTTTGGGAAGCAGCTGCATGCCTATGTGATCTGTGGTGAGTTTGAAGATAATCTGTTTATATCTAGCTCCCTGATTGACATGTACTGCAAATGTGGGGAGATTAGCATTGCTCGTCGCATCTTTGACAGGATGTGTTCACCAGACGTTGTATCATGGACTGCGATGATCATGGGTTATGCATTGCATGGTCCAGCAAGAGAGGCACTTGTGCTGTTTGAGAGAATGGAACTGGGAAATGCAAAGCCTAATCATATCACCTTTCTTGCTGTTCTGACTGCATGTAGTCATGCTGGATTAGTGGATAAAGGCTGGAAATATTTCAAGAGTATGTCAGATCATTATGGAATTGTTCCTACTCTAGAGCATTGTGCAGCGCTTGCTGATATCCTTGGTCGTGCAGGAGAGTTAGATGAAGCATACAATTTTATATTGAAGATGCAAATAAAACCAACTGCAGTGTCTGGTCCACATTGTTAAGGGCTTGCAGGGTCCATAAAATACCATTTTAGCTGAGGAAGTAGCCAAGAAAATTATGGAGCTTGAACCTAGGAGCATTGGATCTCATGTAGTTTTGTCAAATATGTATTCAGCTTCTGGGAGATGGAATGAAGCAGCACACCTACGAAAATCTATGAGAAAAAAGGGTATGAAGAAGGATCCAGCTTGCAGTTGGATTGAAGTGAAGAACAAACTGCATGTCTTTGTAGCTCATGATAGGTCCCACCCTTGGTATGACAGGATTATTGATGCACTGAATGTTTTCTCAGAGCAGATGGCACGCGAAGGGCATGTACCCAATACAGAGGATGTTTTTCAGGATATTGAAGAAGAGCAGAAGGCATATGTGTTATGTGGTCACAGTGAGAAACTTGCTATAGTGTTTGGTATTATAAGCACACCTGCTGGAACAAGAATTCGTGTGATGAAGAATCTCCGAGTCTGTATTGATTGCCACACAGTAACAAAATTTATTTCAAAGTTAGCTGATAGGGAGATTGTTGTGCGTGATGCAAACCGTTTCCACCACTTTAAGGATGGAAATTGTTCCTGCGGGGACTTTTGGTGATTAGGTAACGGTTTGGGATTATCATGTGCTGAAATATAAAGTGAATTGTCTGCTTTCTCCATCAGCTTAAGCTTTTGGGTTGAACTGATCAATGCATGCAACTCAGCCTGTTCGCTTGCTCGTATACGATCGTGGATTATAAGCTGGAACAATATTTTTCTCTCACACCAAACCAGCCAGTAGTAAATAATCCACGATCGTTTACGGCCTGAAGAACAGGCTGTTAATATTACTTAATATGGTATCATATTAGAGGTCTCGAGTTCGAATCATGGCTAGCGCAATTAAATAAAAAATAATTGTTGCGCGCTGTTATTCCACGTCTGAGGCACGAGTGGGAGTGTTGAGATATAAAGTGAACTGGCCACCTCCACTATCAGCTAAAGGTTTTGGGTTGAACTGGTTAGTGCATGCAACTCAATAATATGTTTGTGAAGGGAGTTTCTACTGCATGTGGTAGTAACTCAATTATATGGCTATTTACAACCATCTGCCTGTTCGGGAGGCCGTATCGTATCGTGGATTATTTACTGCTGGCTGGTTTGGTGTGAGAGAAAAACACTGTTCCCGGCTAGAAATTTACGATCGTTTACGAGCAAGCGAACAGGCTGCATGTTCTTAAAAAGTAGTAACATGATTATACTCATTTCCCTTTCATGCTTGCAGGGTACACCAAATGAGCAGCTCGTGGTGGATGCCCATGATTCCAGGCAAGTGCAGCACACTCTGGATTGTGGAGACGGCCATTATTTTTCTTCAGCATGGAACCACCACAGCAATGTACTTGGTATACATTGGTTAACATGGCGGTACTTGGTATACATTGGTTAACATGGCGGATAACAGGTATGATCCGCAGTGTAAATCTTGTGGCATCAGAGTCAGGTCTGAAAGGCATGCATAGATATTGGAACTACTGCGGTAATAATCCAAGGATCAGAAGTTGGAGCGCGACGCGTGTGTGAATTACCATTCTTCCGGAGTACGTATGCTGTAGCCTGTAGCTGTACTCAGCACGACCATGTCATGAATGAGTTCATTGATTCCTTCATAAATCTGGGACCATCCAGCCAGCCACATACCCAGCGAGCCGGGACTACAGCTGGAGCCCGCATTAGTCCAAGATCCAGCTGAACAGGACTGCAGCTGAATGATGCGCCACAGCCTCTTTTTTGGCCCTAAAGTGCGAAATAGAATAGTACTAGAAGCCAAGGTTCATCAAATTTTAGCTTGATCCCTTAATCATTTTCCTTGACGATGATGCTCCTTGATGCTACTTAAATAGTACTAGCACGTACCAGAAATGAGTGTGGTGGTGGTTTTGCACAGAGAAGCGGATACGGTAAAAGGGGTTGAGCTATACGTATGGCAGGAGTTCCTTGTTCATTTCTACTTACAGTACTCGCTACACCGTACACGTATATACATACTTTTTATACATACGCAACGACCGACGAGCGACAAGGACGTGACAACCTATACGAAAAGACGGCCAAATCTGCGCAGCCAGTCAGAGCGGGTACTCCGTACACGTATACACAGCACGCGGCGGATAACCCGGGCGGAATCGCGAATCGCAAAGCAAATAAAGCACCCCATATGGCCATATTCCCGTTCCCACCCTCGACTCCTGTCCTATCCGCTCGCCAGTCGCCACCTCCACTCCTCTCCTCCGCGCCCGGCGCCTCCCGTCTTCCTCCTCCCTCCCGACACACCTCTTTAACTCGCCCCCGCTTCCAAAAAATGCTCCAGTTAATTTAATCCAGACGAGGAATCGCCTCGCCTCGCCCCGCCCCGCCCCAACCCGGATCTCTTGCCCGCGAATCCCCAGGCCTGCTTGCTCGCCGACAGGACCCTGCCATCGGCTCCGGCGGGAGGTTGACTCGCACTGCGGCGGGGCGGGGCGCGTCGCCGCCGCCGCAGCTCGGCACGGGGGCTCGTCGGGTCGGCAGTCGCTTTCGGGTCGGGCGCTGTCGAGGCCAGCGGTGCCGGGGCAATGCGGTCAGTTCGTGGAGCTGTTTGAGGCGCTTGGGCTGGGATCTGAGTGAGGGTGCCAGGTAGTAGAGGAAGCGAGCGAGCGAGCTTCTGTCGGTGGGGAGTTGGTGGTGGTTGTAGGCGTACGGCGCGCGTTGGGCTGCCGGGATGGAGCACGTAGTCGGGGGCAAGTTCAAGCTCGGCAAGAAGATCGGGAGCGGATCCTTTGGGGAGCTCTACCTCGGTGCGTCCCGGTGATGGGTCCTGCTTGATTTGTGGAGCTCACTTTCCCTTCTTTTTCTCCGGGCGTGCTTCGGTGTGTCGTGCTTCTGACCGTGTGTTTGTTTTGATTTGTGTGCAGCCGTGAACGTGCAGAATGGCGAGGAGGTGGCTGTCAAACTGGTATGCCACGAACAGCTTCCGCATGATTCTAGTGTCCGCTATCCATGTTTTGGTGAACAATACTGTGTAGTAGGAGTTGACTCTAGTTGGAGTAACTGAAATATGTAGTTAGCCTAATCGGTTGCTACTCACCTTGCAAGCATTATTGCATATTAGGAGCTCGGCAATTACAGCACAAACGTCCCTGTACAGAAATGATGTTATCCAGCGCTGTCTATGCCTCTTGCGACAGAATTGTCAACAGTGGGACCATTTGGGTCCTGGAATAAGCTTCATCCGAGTGAAATGAATCATTTGTACAACACAATTTTATCCTGGAGAAACGTTTGCTCATTTGAGTCAGTGAACCTGTAGCACTTCATTTGAGTCAATGAACCTGTAGCACTCCTCTGAAGTGAGGGTATCAATGCTAATCTCAAAGCAGCCATTAGAAACTAATCTCCTGTTTGTTCTGATTGGATTGTTCTTAAAGTTGGGTTTAGCTTCTTTGGAGTTATGTTTTCTCTATATATGCTAAATTAAATTAGTGTGTTAGACTGTTAGCTGATGGTGAGTGTTTCTCCAAGACTGTAATGTCAACAGTGGCATATCAAAAAATATTTTAGCACAGATATGTTTAGTGCATCTTCATAATTGCTAGGTGATTGATCTTTTTTAGAAGAACTTGATTCGCGGTCATTGATATTGTTGGTCTTAGTTGCTATTAGGAATTTAGGACTGATTGCTCACTTATTTTGCGTGTGTATATTTCTTCTTATTAGGAATCGGTCAAATCACGGCATCCACAGCTTCACTATGAATCAAAACTATACATGCTTTTGCAGGGTGGAAGTAAGTGCAACCAAAGTAAAATTTGGTTATCTCAATTACACTGGTATTTTACTGATCTGTTTCTGTTCTGCCCTGATTTGTAGCTGGGATTCCACATCTTAAGTGGTTCGGGGTGGAGGGGGAGTACAATGTCATGGTGATTGATCTGCTTGGTCCAAGTCTGGAGGACTTATTTAACTACTGCAGCAGAAAGTTCTCCCTTAAAACAGTACTAATGCTTGCTGATCAGATGGTGAGTCTTTCTTATGGTTCCACTTTCCATTTCATCGGTCTTTGCAAACAAAAATAACTTGCCTTCTTCATGTGGGATACAGATTAGTAGAGTAGAATATATGCACACGAAGGGGTTTCTACATCGTGATATCAAGCCCGATAATTTCCTCATGGGTTTAGGACGTAAAGCAAACCAGGTATGTGCTACTTCTGCTAAACCTCATTAAGAGTCAGTTTTCCTATTGGAAGCATTTTGTCTACCAAATTGAACAATAGTGAATCAAAAGATTTTGAATATGAGACACTTTAAGAATCATATTATCTGATGTCTAATGATAACAGTGAAGTTGAACGACGTTTCTTATTATGAGAAATGACTATTAGCTTGCTGGCAAAGTTACCATCTGAAAACAGTTGTGCACACTCCACAGGTATTTGTTATCGACTATGGCCTTGCAAAAAAGTATCGAGATCTCCAAACTCATAAGCACATACCATACAGGTAAAGGAGAATCTATGCCTATAAAGTTATAAAGCTACTTCTAACTTAGCATCCTGAAAGTGGGAGATTGTTCAGGTGTACCATCCCAATTAGATCCTGTTGTTTCGTGTCTGTATTCCTGTTCACTCAATGTTTTTGATGCCATTGGCATTTTGACATAGTTCACGCATACCATAAACCTTTTTGTGGTTTACTATGCAACAGCTTATTACATGACTGAGTTCTTGGTTCTGAACCTACCTGAAAATTGAAATTTTGGATCAATTGTACCTTTTGTCTTGGGCTGAATTTGGTCATTCTTGAAAGGTTAACCTGGTACCTGGCATGATAGGAAGATGTTTTGCACTGGTTTTAACCATAGTGGTCAAGTTGGTTCATATAAGCAGGCTAGGGGCAGCCAACAATACTCAAACAATGTGTGTAGAAAATTATTATTATTAATAATGATAGGAAATATCAAAAGTTCAACATTGTAAAAACGCTGCTGTACTGATTAGTATTAACTTTTCATCTTTGACATGAAAATTCCTGTTGCAAATCTTTTTCCTGGAGGTTCATTTTTTTGGTTCTAAGCTTCTAGCCAGAACTACTTTATGTGTGTTATCATTTAAAAAGCTAATACAATTTGTCAATTTCTTCGTCTTGCCACAGGGAAAACAAAAACCTCACAGGAACAGCACGATATGCCAGTGTAAATACCCATCTCGGAGTAGGTGAGTTTATGGCTTGTAAATACAGATATCTGTATCATTAGTATCTGAGTTAAATGAGAGTCTATAGGGCAAAGGGAAACAGGGAAGGCAAATATTTTGAACAAATTAAAACTCTTCAAAACCTGTAAGCTGTAACACTAACAAATCTGAATGCCTTGATAGATGAATTTGGGTTAACCTTTCTTCATTTCCTTCTAGAGCAAAGCAGAAGAGATGATCTGGAATCTCTTGGTTATGTGCTGATGTATTTCTTAAGAGGAAGGTATGACATAATTTTTCTTCACTAGGATTTCCTATATTCTTGTGCACCATAACATTTTCTTGTCATCTTGGAATCCCCCAGTCTTCCTTGGCAAGGCCTGAAAGCTGGCACAAAGAAGCAAAAGTATGATAGAATCAGTGAAAAGAAAATGCTGACACCAGTTGAGGTACTTGATTTTTTAGATCAAGGGACAGTGCATTGCGAAGTCCCCATGATCCCATCACTTAATGTGCTGTTCAAACAACATGTTATGGTATTGATTTTCTGTGATAATAACATGCCAAATTCCTAAACAGGTCCTCTGTAAATCGTATCCATCAGAGTTTACTGCATACTTTCATTACTGTAGATCACTACGATTTGAAGATAAACCGGATTACTCCTATTTGAAGAGACTCTTCCGTGACTTATTTATCCGTGAGGGTATGGTTAAACATTATAAATGTATAATTGATGTTCCTTGCACCTCTATTTTTTTTATGTGGCTTATTCTGGATACTTGCAGGGTACCAACTAGATTATGTATTTGACTGGACCATTATGAAGTATCCTCAGTTTAGAGATAAAAGCAAACTTCAGGTATGCACGCATGTTATTCATTTCCAGGTTCCAGCCCTTCATTAACCAATGTGATTTTCACTGGGCTGACATTTTGCATTTGCTCTTGGCAACTAGTCTAGTGGCAAGATTAGTGGGTTGGCAGGCCCTTCTGCAGAAAGGACTGATAGAACTGCAGGTCCGTAAATCTTTGAGCTAGGAAATAAATTGGTGAAATTTACCAAGTTTTTGTATCAACAAGGGGCACAACTACATCTCTGACAGATTATTTTCTGCAGCTGAAGCTTTGTTTAGAAGAACTAGATCTGGTTCTGGTCACAATCGAGAACACACCAAGCACAGAAGTCTTCTAGAGTCACTGATGCCATCCAAGGTGGTAAGATGTTTTGCTGTTCTGTACACCAGCTAATCGTTCTGCCGTGATTTCAGAAGATCTTACCGCTACATATTGTTTTCTGTAGACTGTTGGTTCGGATAAAACAAGGCCATCCTCATCATCGCGCAATGGAAGCACCTCAAGAAGAGCTGTCCTTTCATCAAGCAAACCAAGCTCTTCTGGAGATCCAAGTGACCCAAACCGCATGGGTCGCCTGGCCCCGAGTAGCAGCAGCCGCCCACCGACTGCCCAAAGGGCACATCCTTCAGGTGGAACTGAGATGAGATCATCGTCTTTGTCAAAAATCGGAAGGTCTTCACATGATGACGCTATCAGGAACTTCGAGCTCCTCTCACTTGGTGCTGACAGGAGAAAATAAGGAACTGACGAAATGGGCTATGGACTCTGGATGATGACGATGGAGTGCTGGGGGTATTATGAGCAGGCAGCTCCAGTATTTGTATGTTGAAAAATATTCTTTTCAAAATAAAAGAGATGATTTAGCTTATTGTTTCCCTCCGGTCGACTAATACTTACTCTGTTCCGAAGGGAATACAATTCTAGCATACTATCAAGTCAAACCATTTGAATTTGACCTAGTTTATAAAAAAAGTATTATGATACCAAATAAGTGTCATCAGATTCACCATGATATTGATACTCTTTTCTATAGACTTTGGTTAAACTTTAGATAGTTTGACTAAAGACACAACTAGAATTGTATCCTTTTTTCCTAGAGGTTGTAACAGACTAAGAGTTAAGTATGAATACGTGGATCCGGCCGTACTAGAGAACAGAAGGTGAGGCAACGAATAAAAGTTTGATGGTAGCTAAGTTTGTTGTTCTACATTCATCATTGCATAGGGATTCATTCATCCATGTAGAAGAACAGAGAGGCAAACAGGGTTGACATCGCCATGGTACGAAAGCTCGTCGCTCATCAGCAATTTCATGGTGATCTGTCATCTCGGACGCCAGGGGGTCTCTGACGAACTGTGCTCACCAAGTGTGCATCAGGCACAATTCCAGTTAGGCTACCCGCTCGCTGAGCCAAGTGATGCCTCTTCGACTTGGACCAGAAACGCAAGGGGGACGGAGGCCGGAGGGTACCGGTCGCCCTGGTCTGTTTGGCGATAGTGTTCGTGAAGGTTCGAGGAGTAACTTCCACGAGCTTGGTTGCTTGTTTCTTCCACTCGTGTACAATGTTTAGCAGAAGTCGCAGCAGCATGACAGCGCCACTGCCCACTAGCTTCAAAGTCAATACATCAAATTTTGCAATAGAAATTGAAAACAAAAACTGTCACAAGCAACCCCCATTCAATTCTGACTAGATGCGGAGTACCCAGTGCAGACGGCTGTGAGAACTTGAGATGACATGTATCTGAGTCAGGCAGTACAATGGTGATGGTACATGACTGGATAGACGCTATGATGTGTACTTGAATCAGAACTGACTAGGTTAGCCTATGCTTGCCGGTAGCTTCTGAACTGCAAATACTGTGCATTGCTGCAACAAGAAACGCGTTCTAGAATCCCAGGCATGCTTACAAAGTAAAGAGAAATAATTAGCTAGGTATAATACCATCAGATAGAAAATCAACTTATTTAAGATGGATATTTTTTTCTGGTAACACTTGTTGTCTTACAAGTATGTTAATATAATCTTCGCCACAATGTCTTAATCCCAAAGTATCTGACTAGATCCACAAGACTAAAACCTCCTGTAGAGGAAATGATGTTCAACGTAAAGTATTAGAAAATCCAATGCTCTGTCTACATTTGATCCCAACCGCCAATTTTTTAATCGAGTGCCATGTATGATGCGTGTACACCAGTTGTACCTGATGGGAAGAGCGTATTTCCGTGAGTCGGACAATACCCTTAAGATCACGAACAATATTATGGTACATGAATGGATATAGATGTCTGGAACAAATTCCAACTAGAAGAGGTTGGGATCCCTACCCCTGATTCTGAGAGCAAAAGCAAAGTAATTCTCACATCACGTTTTGTGGATGTGTGCTATCAAATGGGAGCTCAACAGAGCTTGATCAAGATGGAGTACCTAGAGAAGGAGGCAGCATGGGAGCTCTTCCGAAGCAATTTGAGCACTCAGGCAATTGCAGCCATTGATTCATCTGGCCCCAACAATGCTGTAAAAGAACATGCTAATGCAACTGTCCGAAGCTGCGGTGGTTTGCCACTAGCACTCAAGGTGATAGCGAGTGCTGTGGCAGGGCTGACAACACCAAGTGAATGGAGTTTGGCAATGCAAGCAACCAAGCATGACATCAAGGATATAGATGGAATCCCAGAAATGTTCCATAAACTGAAATATAGTTATGATAAGTTGACACAAACACAGCAGCAATGCTTCCTGTATTGCACCCTTTTCCCTGAATATGGTTCAATTAGCAAAGATCAGCTTGTGGAATACTGGATGGCAGAAGAATTGATACCTCAAGATCCCAACAGAGGTCATCGCATAATCAATCGCTTGCTCTCAGCATGCTTATTGGAGAGCTGTGGATCTGATTTAGAGGTAAAAATGCAGCATATTATTCGTCATCTGGGATTGTCCCTTGCAGTGCAGCAAAAGATTGTTGTGAAGGCTGGAATGAACTTGGAAAAAGGCACCACCACACAGAGAGTGGCGAACAGCAAGAAGGATATCACTCATGTACAATGACATAAGAGACCTTGGTATCTCACCAGAATGCAAGGATCTTGTAACATTATTGGTCCAAAATAATCCTAACTTGGACAAGCTAAGTCCAACCTTCTTCCAGTCCATGTACTCTTTGAAGGTACTTGATCTATCACACACCAGAATTACAGCACTTCCTCTATGTAGCACATTGGCGAAGCTCAAGTTTCTCAATTTGTCTCACACATTCATTGAGAGACTTCCTGAAGATTTCTGGATGCTCAAAAAACTAAGACATCTAGATTTAAGTGTTACCAAGGAACTGAAAGAGACCTCAGATAACTGTTCCAAGCTATACAAGCTAAGGGTGCTAAACCTCTTCCGAAGCAATTATGGGATTCGCGACGTGAATGATCTGAACATTGATTCCTTAAGGGAACTGGAATTCCTTGGGATCACAATCTATGCTGAGGATGTCTTAAAGAAGATGACAAATACACATCCTCTAGCCAAGTCAACACAGCGTCTTAGCCTCAAGCACTGTGAACAGATGCAGTCAATCCAAATATCAGACTTCACACATATGGTGCAACTTCGAGAACTCTATGTTGAATCATGTCTTGACTTGATACAACTTATTGCTGACCCTGACAAGGGAAAAGCTTCCTGCCTGCAAATTCTCACCCTTGCTAAACTGCCTTCCCTCCAAACTATTCTTGTTGGGTCTTCGCCTCATCACTTCCGCAATCTCCTAGAAATAACAATCTCTCACTGCCATAAATTGCATGACATCACCTGGGTTCTGAAGCTGGATGCACTTGAGAAGCTTTCTATCTGCCATTGCAATGAACTGGAGCAAGTTGTTCAAGAAACAATCAACAAGGTGGACAACAGGAGAGGGGGGATTGAGCACAACATTGTTCAGAGATCTGGGATAATAAATGGTTTCTCTGAAGAACAGGAGATACATTGCATTGTAGAAGATGCATATAATGAACATGTAAAAGGCTATCAGAACAAGACGGAGAATGAGCGGATCAAGGGTGTGCATCATGTGGGCTTCCCAAAACTGAGAGCAATGGTTCTGACAGACCTGCCAAAGCTGACGGCAATATGCAATCCAAGAGACTTTCCTTGCCTTGAGATTATTAGGGTGG